GAGGACGATATCCGCTTCGTCATGCCTAGAGCTGATCTGTGCTGGTCGCTGAGGAAATACATCAACTTAGTGCTGTGGATCGCCGGATCGGCTTTCACCGTGGACGAAGCTGTTTACTGATCCTGGTAGAGTAGACTACAATACCTGCAGTTCTGACTCACAGTCTGTAAGACTTAAAACCGCATAAACACATTTCATTACACCAAATACACAAAATAATGTTCTTTTTAGCAGTATCATATGACCCCTTTAAGACTGGTTTTGTGGTCCAGGGTCACAAATACTTAATTATAAAATAATGAATAGGTATAATGTGCCTATTGTGTTCATATTGAATTGCTAAACACTTTTGCTGCTATTGAGGTGGGATACGGGTAAGATTTGGGGTAGGTTATGGTTAGGTTTATAGGGTCAACAGTGTAATTAATTATAGATGTAATTATACAGAAATTACAGGTGTAATAACAGGATGGTATTTTCAAATAGTACAAAGTACAATGTAAAAACTTGTATGTACACAATAAGTGCATTGTATCAAATTATTAATTTAAAAGTAAGTGCATAGTAATTAACAACACTTAATATAAAGTGGGTCCCAACTTTTCAAATCTGAACAGTCTTTATGTCTTACGATTCTAACTTCTTTCTCAGAATTGCATTAGTCAAAATTATGAGATACATACTCGCATTTCTGAGAAGTCAGAAATGTGAGATGTAACCTCACAACAGCAGAAAAGAAAGTCAGAAGATAAAAAGTCGTTGCTAGGAGACGCGTGACATGTAAGCAATATGTGTTCTAAAATCAGCTCAAAATATCAAACATGTTTGATATCTCCAACTGGATGGATTCATAGTCTGAAGCTAAAAACAAAAAACAAAATCAGAGTCTTTGTCCATCATACATTACGCGATATTCTGTGAAATCTGGCTCTGACTTTTGGCAACATCAACTAAATAGGTGCAAAAATTTGGGCAAAAGTTGTATAGTATATTCCAGAGATGAACATGAGATTACTTGGGCCCGTTGCTCAGAAGACACATATGAGAAACAGGAGATTTAATATCTTTGCTCTGTATAGGAGGAACCAAATAAGTATTTATTTACCTGGTTTAAGCGTCATCAGTATTCTTTCCCACAGGATGAATTATCAGTGCCATTGTATGGCACGTGTTTGAGGCACATCTTTTCTCTCAGAAGCAATACATTGGTCATGTCTGACTGA